ATACTGTTTACATTCAATCACTGCTGCACTTTATCGAATAGAAATGTTCATTTACTTTTTGAAAAGATGTACTAAACGAAATTTCATATTGTATACATCCTGTGTACACAAAATGACTTTAAAAGTTTTCTAAGTCTAAGTTTAGACCCCCAGAATTAAAGCTTGACTGTGTAATTCTAAACAGTTTTTCCTCGTCCAACATACTAATACATTAGGATTTTTGTTTTTATTATTTAATTAGTAAAGTCTGCAGAATTACAGTTTGATAACACATATTTATTAAGAAATACATGCATCTAAAATTATAGAGCTGTGCCAATAAGTGATCTACAAATCAAATAAATCCTTACACATTCAAATTGTGTGAATTAATTATGTGTTATAGGCTATCCATATACAATTATTTAGGTATATAGAGTCATTGACACAAAGTGAAGATGGCAACAGCAGACCAATCAACCTGACTGGGATAGCATGTAGGCCTACAACCACTGCAACACTAAACCCAATATATTATAGCTTTAAAAATATAGTAAGAAAATGTTGTTAGTTGTAATAAATCACGTATTTAATGCATTATTTAAATATTAACAAAAATATACATGACATTATTAACTTTAATTCAGTTTATTCAATGCCATCCCAAACCTTTTTTTTTTTTTTATATATAATTAGAAACGTTATGAAAAACATGCTCATTCAGATCGAAAATGTTCAGAGAATCATTTTTCCTACAGCTATCAGTGGTCTAAAACAAACGCTATGAGGCTTTGAAGGATGGATATTGAAAACTGATCTGTATTAATTCACTGTATTGCTGATAGCTCGAAAAAAGTGAAGCCACCGGCCGCCATATTGGTACTCCCAACTCAAAACAAGCAGTTTCCCACCTGTGAAAAGAAATTTCACATGAAATTTCACAGACAGTGGATGAACTAACCAACAAAATCCATATATAGTATGTAGGGTAACCTTAATCTGGCTATCTCGGACTGACTGGAAGATATTTTGACATTGTTTCTAATGTTATAGAATAGAAAATAGAGTAAATAGCAAGTAATAACTGTGAAATGTCAATGTATTAATGTTTTATTCAATGGATAATGCTGTAGTTTTTGTAGTGTTTGGTATATTTCTCATTTGAAAAAGTTGTGTGCTGAAATATATTGCATGTTATATTGACAAAAAAAAAGCAATTTCAACATTTTTTAAAGGCTAATTCACAGCCACAGCATAAAAGTATATGGCATCATGCATGCACAATTTGCAAATAGGAAAATATTGCATCATTAACAGACACGTACTTGTAGTTCAGTCTTGATGTAAAAAAAAAAATGATGTCAGTACATATCTATTATATGTACATCATCAATTTAGCACATTTGGCACATCAGTATTATTGTGCTCCATTAACACATGAATTTTGTTGTAATCGATTTTGTATAATATTTTATATTACATGATTTATAGACTTCATTAGCTTCATACTGACTATGCAATGTGATGTGCCTATTTTTTATCATAAGTTACAGTAATCTACTGATGCTATAAAACAGCCATTGAGTGTCAAAGTGATGAATTTATCTTTATTTTAAAAGTCTTAAGCAGAGGCATAGCCAGAAGGGTGTACGCTGAAGTGTGGCCGAAAGCGGATCAGCCCCAGAACCTTAGGGTCAATCTATGCTGATCCAACAGGAAAATGAACAACCTCAACATCAATATTTTTCCAAATAAAGACAAACTTTACTTTCCTACAGCCTTTTCTAAAAATAGACGCATATACAGTATTTAAACATTCATTTACATAAAAGGTATGGTGGATAAAGTTCTTTCAGGTTTGAGTTCTTTTCCATTGTCATTACTTACCTTCTTTTATCAATAATCATTCTGCATAAAATTGATATTCACAAGTACTAATATCTACAAAAAATGTTTATTTACTAAGTTTTTATTAGAATAGCTATTTACTTATTATGTAACTGAAGACTGGCTTGCATTTTCTCTTTACCTCATATAACACAAAATCTAGTTCCGAAAACAGCATGAATTTTGTACTTATCATCTTTCATGTTATTATATTGATGTGTATAAATAACCACAGTGTTTTTGTGGTCAAGTAAATGTTAATCTATGAAAAAATTAAAATGTTTTGAATATTAAGAGTATTGCTGCCACTTTCAGTATTATTCAGTATAATGGGGAATAAATGGTAGGATGGCCACAGGGGTGGCCAATGATTGGTGGCCACCCCTGGCCCCCGATCTAGCTCCGCCCCTGGTTAAGTCCCTGAAAAATGGGCAATCAGCAATCCAGTAAATAAATAGAGATCAGTTATATTGAGCTGTTTTAAAGAGTTTAATTGGCCTCAGCAGCAATCAGGGGCTATAATATCCAGAGAACTCGAGAACGGACTCCATTTCCCATAATGCTCCACGGCTCGGTTTCCTCCAAACGCAATGACACCTACTTCCGCTTCCTTCCGTCTCCGGCGCCTGCTGCGTGGTTTAGCGGCGTTAGCTAGTTGGGTCACGCTGTTGGCCTGCTTTTTTATTAATATACTGCTTTGGTTTGATATCCACCATAATGTCGTATCACGAAGAGGAAGAAGTAAGTATCCGTGTTATTTTCAGCATACTTTAAAACCGTTTTTGTCGTTTTTTTGGACGTTTCAACATGCCGATTAGCACATAGCTTCAGTGCTAGCTCATTCAGCCATGCTAGCTAGCCGGAAAGTCGTTTATTATTTATTTATTAAGCAGTTTGTGTTAAACGTATTAAATGACTTTCCTTTAACTCTGGTTTATGATGGTTGAATTGAGCAGTTTCCTTATTACTGTAATAAAATGACAGATTATATCACAGCATCAGAAAAATGCTCATATATTAAAAACCGTTTTTCTCCACAGTACGATCCTTACGCCTACTCAAATGACTACGATCTGCACACAGGTAAATATACTTTGATTGCATATTAATTTATGAGCACATGTTTGAAATGCCATGCTGCTTGTGTCAAATTAGGATTTAAATCCACTGAAAAATCGAAAACAAGGTTTTAATATCATGACTATTGTAATCATACATTTTAACTCATAGTAAATATAAATTGATTGCAATTAGGCATGCATTTCAGAAGATTATTTCAATTTAAAAACAATCCAAACACTTAAAACCATTAATTGTTTTATAAAATGACATGAAAAATGATTCTAAAAGGAATTTCTGGGACATTTAATTGAATGTTAGTATAATCAGCCAATTTGCAGCAATTTCAAATCTCCTAACTTCACACACGTACCTATAAACATTTAAAAGATCTGATCAGGTGTTATGATTCAGACCTGGTGCTGCAGAAGCAGCTGGTTTAGATGCAGAGTCAAATGTTGACACATCAAGGCAGCAAAAGGTCCTGCAGCACGTTTTGAACAGAAGGAGCAGCTCATGAGCTTCTGACGCTCTTAAGGAGCTTCAAAAATGGCAGCAGCTGGAGTTGGAGAAATTTAACTTTCCTGATCGACACACCTCATCAACCAATCAGAGAAGCTGATCTGGGAGCTGACAGGGAAACAGAGGCTACATTCAGACTGCAGGCCTTGATGCTCAGTTCCGATTTTTTTGTGAAATCCTATTTTCTTTGCGTTGCCGTTCACATTGCCAAATATATGCGACTTGTGTGTGATATCCTCTGTGAATTGCCTTGATACAACCTAGGTGTCCTGCATGCACAGTAAAGGACGTAATGACATCACAGGCCAGCGTGTTCTGTGTTTACGGAAGTAAACATGGATGGTAGTGCCGGGGAACATCTGGTGAACTTTCCCAACCGTAAAAACACAATCTTTTCAAGATGGTTAAATATAAATACTGAATCACTTTCCAGCGTGGTTGTTTTTCTTGCTGCTTCTTCATAGCAAGACCCAGAATATTGATCTTTGTCGGGTATTAATGGCGTTCAGGTCGGATGAATGCGACCTGGCTGTTCAGACACCGGTCGCATTAGAAAAGATCAGATACGTATCGGATTCACGACCACATAGCCAAGTGGCCTGGATCGCATTGGAAAAAATCGGATCTGTGCTGTTCAGACTGCCATGAAAAGATCAGATGCATATGGGCAAAAATGTAAGTCATTTCAGTCTGCAGTTTGAACGTAGTCAGACACAGCACTGCGGATGCAGAGCGCTATGATTACTCCTGTGAAACAATTTATTAACGCCTAAATTAACTTAAAATGTCAAAACCTGACGGCTAAATATGTTCTACTTTATTATCCTGGTGCCTGCAGTTTGGATTACGTACGTGAAAAACACTAACATCTCCTTCCAGTCGTTGTGAACAGTAGCAAAAAACTGCAGAGAGACGACCGGTCCAGAGGCTGCTGTTGAATGGGATTCCCAGGGACGGAGCTCCACCTCTGTACGGGGGTCGGACAGAAATAATATTTGAAAAAAGGCTGGTAATCTGGATAAACTTACTGCACAGATGACGTTTTCGGGACTTTTTCACTTAAAAACATTAAAAACTACTTTTAACCCACTGATCACAAAAAATATAGCAAAGCTGCTCTCTGCCATTTAACACAGGAGCAGCTGAAGCCTTTGAACACACTTTACTGGATGCGCTTCAGGAGCGTCAAATAGAAGCTTTTTTGCTGCTTCCAGTCTGAATGTAGCATTATTAATTCAAATAAGCAGAGCAAATGTCGATTTCATCCTCCCTTTGCTCGGTTAAAGAAAGGATAGGGCAGTTAATGCGCATCAGACCCACTTTTCGACCGCGCAGCTAGAGCAGCAAAGATGCTTCAGCCGTGCGTCAGAACTAAAATTGTACAAGCATCAAAAATGAAGCAGCTGCTTCTGCTACATGCGGTCTGAACGCAGCATTAGTTTCATCTCAGTCACTAAGGCAGGTGGCTGAGATCAACCAAATCCAACAACGCAGTAGAAACCTGAAGAGCCACTTTAAGTGACCCTAAGTGATCCTGTCTGCAGGTGACCCTAAAGCAGATCTTGCGTATGAGAGACAGTATGAGCAGCAGACCTACCACGTCATTCCAGAGGTGATCAAGAACTTCCTCCAGTATTTCCACAAAACCATCTCCGACTTGATCGACCAGAAGGTTTATGAGCTGCAGTCCAGCCGGGTTACCAGCGAGAGCATCGAGCAGAAGATCTACGAGATCCAAGATGTCTACGAGAACAGGTGAGCTCCTTTCTTAGCCACGATGGAGACAGCAGAGGAGCGCATGTTTGGAGGCGTTCCGTTTATCTTTATCTGGTTTGGCTTCCAATCAGCTGGAACAAGTTGACTGACCGTTTCTTCAAGACTTCGCCCTGGCCTGAGGCTGAAGGCATCGCATCGCTTGTTGGCAATGGTGAGAGATGATGGGGTTTATTTATGCGCTGACTCTCATCTTAACGCCCCATTAAAATGCTGAATGTTGTCCAGATGAAATTTTTACGTGAAAGATGGTCTTTGTCTTTGCTGCAGACGCTGTGTTCCTCATCCTCTATAAGGAGCTCTACTACAGACACATCTATGCTAAAGTCAGCGTGAGTATCTGAACATGTGGTTTTCATCTTAAGCTAAAAAATGAACTGCAACAGATTGAAGATCCTCTGATATTTTGTTAGAATGATGATATTTGTGTCTATTAGGGTGGACCTACCTTGGAGCAGAGGTTTGAGTCCTACTACAATTACTGCAACCTCTTCAACTACATCCTCAGTAAGTCCATCGTTTTAGCAGACTGTTGGATGCCTGTCGATGCATCAGCCTTAAGAATGTTTGACTGTGAACAGATGCAGACGGTCCGGCACCTCTGGAGCTGCCAAACCAGTGGCTGTGGGACATCATTGATGAGTTCATCTACCAGGTGAGCAGCAAAATAGGCCTTTTATCTCAGTTTATAATGTAATAAACTGGTTATATGAGTAGAGAAAGACCAGATCATGTTTTTTCTGATTGATTTTGAGCTAAAATGTTGAAACCTTTCCTTCACAGTTCCAGTCCTTCAGTCAGTACCGATGTAAAACGGCCAAAAAATCGGAGGAGGAAATTGAGTTCCTGAGGAGTAACCCGAAGATCTGGAACGTCCACAGCGTCCTCAATGTCCTCCACTCCCTGGTGGATAAGAGCAACATCAACCGACAGCTGGAGGTCTACACCAGCGGAGGTAAACCCGTGTTTTAAAAACAGGATAAAGACGTCCGGATGATTTTAAGTCTTAACATCTGGCCTCAAAGTTGTGAAGATATTTTAAAATATATAAGGTTGCCAACGTTTATCTCACTGGTTGGATGCAGGGGACCCAGAGAGCGTGGCTGGGGAATATGGACGCCACTCTCTGTATAAGATGTTGGGGTACTTCAGCCTGGTTGGCCTGCTGAGGCTGCACTCTCTGCTGGGGGATTATTACCAGGCCATTAAAGTCCTGGAGAACATTGAGCTCAATAAGAAGGTAAGGGAGGAGCCTGTTGATGCAATGTGTGCTTCAAGATCCAACATGTTGAAGATTTTCAGTCATCCAGGTCATAGTCATTCCAAAAAAGT